TGGGCTATACAATATATAATAATACACAACTAATAATTTAATATTTTGATTATTTATCAACAACCTCCACTAATCACAAATATACTTATTTGATAATTTTATATATGTTAGTGTATATTGTATTCGTGTATATCTTAGTCCAATATTAGTTCTATTATAAACGGCCCAACAGCCCTGTACATATTCTATATATTTCCTTGTATTGTATGTTTTCGGCATGGAATGAGAATCAATTTGATTACCATCTAATAATATGGTATCAGAGATATTCTCCTAAAATTTCTCCTTTCTTCTTCTCTCCTTCCCAAAGTCGTGGTCTTCCTCTTCAACCCTAAATCTTGCTTCTCCTTCTGTTATCATCATCATGTCTGAACCTGCAGCACCAATACACAAAGTTTTTTGTGTTAACAACATCAAATCTCATATTCCTCTTACCCTTGATCTTGAAAGGCTGAATTATGATGTCTGGCGTGAACTATTCACAACTCACTGTGAAGCATATGATGCTCTCGACCATATTGATGACACGTATGATGATCCCACTCCAAAGCCCACTGATCCTAACTGGAAGAAAGTTGATTCGGCTGTTAAAGGATGGATTTACTCAACCCTTTCCCAAAATACCGTTAATATGATTCTGAAACGAGCCACCTACGCTAGACAAGTTTGGCTTACCATCGAACGTCTCTTTCGCGACAATAAAGATTTGAGAGCAATCCAACTTGACATCGAGCTTCGAAATCTCTCCATGGGTGATCTTAGTGTCACTGCCTACTTCACAAAAATCAAGTCTATTGCCGACCTACTGGAGAATCTCGACCCTCAAGCAAAGGTTCCTGATAAAAATCTTGTCATTTATGCCATTAATGGGTTATCTTCCCGCTTTGATAATGTCGCTGGCATCATCCGTCATCGTATCCCATTCCCATCCTTTGAAGATACCCGCTCAATTTTACTTTCTGAAGAACAACGGATTCTCCTTCATCGACCCCTTCAATCCTCCGCTCATAGTGAACACTCATCTTCCCCATCGCTGCTGCACACTACCACCGACAGCAGCCGCCGTCAGGACCGCCACCAAGACCGCCGGACCTCCCAAAACCGACGACGCCAGTAAGGGTCTAACTCCAATGGACCCTCACTTCCACCACAGCAGTACGGTTGGGTATACATCCCGCCGCCAGGTTCTTCTCAAATCCCTTGGACTCAACAGCATCGCCCCAGCAATTCTCCTTATTGGGCTGCCAACTCACAGCAACAGGCTCCGGGCCTTCTTGGCCCACCTCCTTCACGGCCTCACCTACCTGTTGCACAAGCCCATCTAGCTGCCACTTCCTCTGCACCAGCCCAACACATAAATGCTCCAATAACACCACTGTGGGCCTGGTTTGGGACCGAACAACAGCCCACAGCCCTTCCACAATTATTTAGCTCCATGTCACTTCAAGAGCCGGGCAAATGGGTTATGGACACGGGTGCAACGGACCACGTTCATGCCAACCAAGGTATACTCCAATCCTTTCTTGATAAGAATACTTGTCATAATATCCTAGTTGGTGACGGGACCAAAATACCTGTAGTTGCGACCGGCCATACCTTATTTCCTATACAAAACAACCATCGTCCTCTTTATCTAAACAATGTCCTCATTACACCTTCAATCATCAAAAATCTAATTTATGTACGCAAATTCACTCATCAAAATAAATGCTCCATTGAATTTGATGAATTTGGTTTTACTGTCAAGGATTACAGGACCCGTCTACCCCTAATCCGATGTGACAGTGATGGTCCGCTCTACCCGGTTCTACCTCAAACTCCTCAAGCTCTCGTTTCCACAAGCTCTTCCGTTTGGCACCAACGCCTTGGTCATCCTGGCAGCCATGTTTTGCAATTTCTTTTATCCAATAAATTGATTCCATGTAATAAAAATGACTTTACTTCTTTGTGTCATGCTTGTCAAACTGGAAAACATGTCAAACTTCCATTTAGTTCTTCTAATTCTATTGTTTCTCATGCATTTGACATTATACACTCTGATGTTTGGACCTCTTCTATTACTAGTATAAGTGGTTTAAAATATTATGTTATCTTTCTTGACCACTACTCTCACTATCTTTGGGTGTACCCATTAAAACAAAAATCTGACGTTTACTCCAAATTTCTTGAATTTTTCACATATATCAAAAACCAATTCAACACCACCATCAAATCCTTCCAATGTGATAATGGGGGGAATACAACAATAAACAATTTCATGATTTCTTTGCCACACATGGAATCAACTTTCGTTTTTCATGCCCTCATACATCCCAACAAAACGGAAAATCTGAACGTATGCTTCGCTCAATCAATAACATTATTCGCACTCTACTATTCCAAGCCCATCTACCACCCACCTATTGGGTCGAAGCACTCCACATGGCAACTCATCTCTTAAATATTCTACCTTCCACCTCCATTCAAAATGACACATCCACATACCGACTACTCCAAAAACATCCCACTTATAATCATCTCAAAACTTTTGGATGTCTTTGTTTCCCTCACATCACCACCTCTCACAAACTATCCCCTAGATACTTACCGTGTGTGTTTCTTGGATATCCATCTCACCATCGAGGTTTTCGATGTCTCGACCTCAACTCTCGCACCATCATTATATCTCGTCATGTCACCTTTGATGAAAATATCTTTCCTTTCAAATCAGTATCACCAAATGACTCTCCATCCTACTCTTTCCTTGATGACAGTTCCGATCCTTCACCATACTTCCGCTCTAAATTATTCCCTCACCCAAACACCACTACACCCGACCCTACCCCATCAACCCCCCCCCCCCTCTGAACCTCCTCCCCTCTCTCCCTCTACTTTTCAAACTGAGCACTCTCCATCTCCTACTGAATCCTCAGATCATAACACCAATATACCTCCTCCTCGTACACATTCCATGACCACTCGATCCCATAATGGTATCGTAAAACCCATCCAAAAGTTAAATCTCCACACCTCTTCTCTCTCCCCTGTCCCCTCGTCACATCTACAGGCTATTAAGGACCCTAACTGGCGTCAGGCTATGCTTGATGAGTACAATGCCCTTATCTCGAACAGGACTTGGACCCTTGTCCCCAGACCCCAAGGGGTTAATATTTTCAGGTCTATGTGGCTTTTTCGCCACAAATTTAATGCACATGGCTCTCTCTCTCTCGCTACAAAGCAAGACTTGTAGCGAATGGTCGCAGTCAACAACAAGGCATCGACTGCGATGAGACATTCAGCCCGGTTGTCAAACCGGCCACCATACGCACAGTTCTCAGCATTGCTGTCTCAAGACACTGGCCGATTCATCAGCTTGATGTAAAGAATGCATTTCTTCACGGCCACTTACAGGAAACCGTATATATGTTCCAACCTCCGGGCTTCAAAGATACTAAATTTCCTGATCACGTATGTCGTCTTCAGAGATCTCTTTATGGTCTCAAGCAGGCTCCTAGGGCATGGTTCTACCGTTTTGCCCATCATGCCACATCCATTGGTTTTCACCACAGTCGTACTGACCCGTCATTATTCATTCTTCACTCAGCTGGTGCAACCGCATATTTATTACTGTATGTTGACGACATCATACTGACAGCTTCTTCTACATCTCTCTTGCAGCAAATTATTGCCAAACTTAGCAGTGAGTTTTCCATGACAGATCTTGGACCACTTAACTATTTTTTGGGCATCTCTGTTGTCCGATCTTCCACAGGTCTTTTCCTCTCTCAACAGAAGTATGCCTATGAGATTTTGGATCGAGCCAACATGCGAAATTGTAATCCATGTCGGACTCCAGCTGAACCACTCCACAAACTCTACGCATCCGGCACACCAGTCGCTGACCCTACTTTATTTCGCAGTCTAGCAGGTGCACTTCAGTATCTCACTTTCACCAGACCTGACATTGCTTTCGCAGTTCAACAAATTTGCTTATACATGCATGATCCCCGCGAGCCCCATCTTCAAGCTCTCAAACGGATTCTTCGCTATGTGCGGGGTACTCTTGATCATGGGCTTCAACTATACGTCTCCCCCACTTCATCTCTTGTTGCATACTCTGACGCAGATTGGGGGGATGCCCTGCAACCAGACGCTCCACATCAGGATACTGTGTATTTCTTGGAGACAACCTTATTTCTTGGTCCTCCAAAAGGCACCATTTCCAGATCTAGCGCTGAGGCTGAATATCGTGGTGTTGCCAACACTGTTGCTGAAATCTCCTGGCTCCGGAACCTTCTTCTTGAACTTCGTTGTCCTACGCCACAAGCAACCATTGTATATTGTGACAACGTCAGTGCGGTCTACATGTCAACCAACCCAGTTCAACACCAACAAACGAAACACATCGAAATCGACATTCACTTTGTTCGCGACAAAGTAGCTCTCGGCCACATACGTGTTCTTCATGTTCCATCCGCCTCCCAGTATGTCGATATCTTCACCAAAGGTCTACCCACCAGCTTATTCAAAGATTTTCGCTCCAGTTTAAACGTCCGTCATTTCCCTCCCGATCAAACTGCGGGGGGATGTTAGTGTATATTGTATTCGTGTATATCTTAGCCCAATATTAGTTCTATTATAAACGGCCCAACAGCCCTGTACATATTCTATATATTTAAAATAATAATATACACATTTAAAATAATCAATATTATATTTTATTTATAGATAATTATGATTTATATATTTTAGAATATTTTTTATTATATATTGTATTTAACCTAATATATAATACTATATTGCTAATTGCTTCTAAAGTTTGAAGAAAAAAATAAAAGTAAAAGAAGTAAAGAACCAATGACACTCCATGTAGACGATCCATTCACCCAAGTTGCCAAAGGCTGAGTGAGTACATGTATTTAAAAAAAGTTAAATAATAATAATAATAATAATAATAATAAAATAAACATAAAAATTTACTTGAATACCGATCTCAATTTCTTAGCAATATATAAACGATTGCAGTTTCTTACCTATAAACATAGCCTAAAGTGTCTAGACATTGTGTATACATTTAAGCGCCTATTTTATGTGGTTGAGCACAATATCATCTTAAAAGTTCTGCTAACTCGCTATGGCCGATTTCCATGGCTATTTCAACATCTTTCTCATCTTGCTGGTCTCCCTCATCTTTATGGTCGCGTTTTTCAAATCTGCTCGTGCTAAATCTCATCTTCCACCGACCCCGTTTCCCCTTCCCATCATCGGACATCTCCACCTCCTTGCTCCAAGCCCTCATCAAGCTTTTCACAAGCTTTCAGTCCAACATGGGCCAGTTTTCCGCTTCTTTTTGGGCTCCACACCTTGTGTTGTTGCTGGATCAACAGAAACAGCTAAAGAATTGTTTAAAACGTATAATGATGCTTTCTTAGACCGACCCCATAACTCAACCTTGGATTACTTTACCTACGGAGGCAGGGGCTTCTTCTTTGCTCCTTATGGAGCTTACTGGAAGTTCATGAAGAAGATAGTCATATCAGAACTCCTTAATGGTAAAACACTCGAGTCCCTCCTTCCAATCAGGCGTGACGAAGTGATACGTTTATTACAAGTTTTATCACAATCGGCAAAAGTTGGGAAGTCTGTGGAACTTGAAGGGGAGCTGATCAAGATGACAAACAATGTGATATCAAGAATGCTTATGAGCAAGAGGTGTTCAGAAGAAGATGATAAGGCAGAGGACATAAGGGAAATAATTACGGAGATAGGGGAGCTTATTGGTAAATTTAACCTTTCGGATCATATATGGTTCTGTAAGTATCTTGACTTGCAAAGAATTGGAAAAAGGTCATTAAATATCCGTAGAAGATTTGATGCCTTGATAGAAAATATCATGAGAGAGCATGAAGAAGCAAGAAAACAGGACACTGGAGAAATGAACGACTTGTTGAACATTCTACTCCATATCTCAGAAGATGAGACCATGGATAAAAAGTTGACCAGAGAGAACATCAAAGCCTTCATTCTTGTAACACTATCACTCCAGATCATATACTTTTTTAATGTCTGTATTTGCAACTTTTAATATATGTACATGTTCCATTTCAGGATGTATTTGGTGCAGGAACAGACACGTCGGCATTAACTACAGAATGGGCTTTATCTGAACTCATTAACCATCCAAACATTATGAAAAAAGCAGTAGAAGAAATCGACCATGTTGTGGGCAAAAACAGACTTTTACAAGAATCGGACATACCAAACCTTCCTTACCTCCAAGCAATTGTCAAGGAAACGCTACGTCTTCACCCCACAGTCCCAATGATTCAAAGAATATCAACAAGAGATTGCATTGTCGGAGGTTATGATATTCCAGCAAAGACCACTATTTTTTTCAACGTGTGGGGCCATGGCCGAGACCCCACTAACTGGGAAAACCCACTAGAATTTAGGCCGGAAAGATTTGAAGGGAGAAAGTTGGATGTGAGAGGACAAGATTTTCAGTTGTTGCCATTTGGGAGTGGGAGTAGGATGTGTCCAGGGATATCGCTAGGGTTGCATGTAGTACATGCAACCCTTGGCTCTATGATTCAGTGCTTTGAGTGGAAGGCTGGGAAAGAAGGGAATCTAACTAGTGTTGATATGGAGGAGGGTATCGGGATAACACTTCCTAGAGCTAATTCTTTGGTTTGTGTTCCTGTGGTGCGACTTCATCTCATCCCTTTATCTATGTAATATGTATGTCATTGGTCGAGTATTAATAACACAAAGTTGACTATAGATTGATGTCATCTTTTCATGACTCCTATTTTGGTCGAGCATTACTTAACACATGCAAGCGGACTTGTCTTTTTAGTGTAATGCAAACAATGGCATGGCAATAAAATATAATGGAGAAGGGACTTGTCTTTTCATGCATTGTTTAAAGTTCATCATGCCATGAGAGACTTTCCTTTGCATTTGTGCTTTTCGTTCACTACTTTTTGAGTTTGTTTGGGTCCCTACAATAATATCATCATTCGTTTTGGACCCAATAATACTTTAATCAAGTGTTAAATTTTAGTGGTTTAAAGAAGGACGTATAATTCAAACGCCCAAATAAGTTTTTATTGGAGTTACATATAACTTGTACGGATTGTTTTAGATGCTTTTACTTAATATTTCGTTTTATTTAAGATAACATGATAGTGCCGAGGACAATAAATAAATAAATAAATTAGATAACATGATACAACTTCAAGGTATTGATTTATTTCAATACAAAAGTGTTGGTACATATTGATTTGTTTCGATACATAATAACAGTGGAGTCGTAGCCAGCTGGGAATCCTTCTTGACGCCGTGTTCAGATTCTTCAAATATTGGGTCTGTAGAGAGAGAGAGAGAGAGAGAGAGAGAGAGAGAGATAGAAATTATGAAAAATAAAAATAAATATGTAAAGGGTAAAAAGGTCATTTTAATTTTAAAAAATACTAAATCTACAACGAAACTACTGTAAATAACTGTTTGTTAAAAAATTTGGAACCCTAGTAATAATGGTAACATCAAATGATACACACGTGGTTAGAGTACACGTGGTTAGAATAGTGTTTCTCAGTCAAATTGTAGACCTGGTGTAGAGTCGTATATTTAGGATTTTCGGTTGTAAACCTTATATAAATTGCAGTCTATCAAGAGCCGCTTACCTTTTTCTTTGATTTTTTTTCTCTTGTCGTTGAACCATGGCCGTCAATCACATTCTTCTCGGTCTTGCTAACAATTCCAATCTCAACTTTCAATTTCCCTCCATCAGCATCAAACTCAATCATGACAACTACCCTCTACGGCGATCAACCATCATCTCAGCTCTAGAAATGTTTGAGCTAGAAGAGCTCCAAATCCACCATCACAGACAATTACGATCTCACCCACCGAAGGTTCACCCACCACAGAACCAAATCCCGACTACATTCTTTGGAACAAGAAGGACCGATTTGTTCTCTTGTGGCTTCACTCGACTCTGTTCCATCTCAACATGTTCAATAGGAAACACCACATGTTAGTACTTCTACTCCTTCCTCCACAATCCCTTCTCCAAATCCAAACTATCTAAGCATCCACAGCCAGTTCTCGCGCCAAACGCAATCAGGTCCCAACTGCCCGTTACAGATCTACTGCCCAAAGTGAACATCCAATGACCACTAGGGCTCGTACAAATTCTCTGAAACCCAAGGCCTTCTCGACATCAGTAACATCTACTTCCTCCATTGAGCCATATACATTTAAACAAGCGAATAAGCAAGGGCGGTTCTCTTTAGGTGCACGCAGTGCCACCAGCAACCACTACTTTTTCTATATGTAGTGTAAATTTTTCGAAGTTTTTCTTTTTTCGACTATAAAATGTGTCACCGGTAACACATACTATGAACCGGCAACACCTACTACGGAATCTTGCGTCCGCCCCTGCGAATAAGCACACTTGTTGGCAAAAAGCAATGCAACTTGAATATGATGCATTAATGCGAAATATCACATGGTCTCTTGTTACTTGTCCACCGAATGTTAATGTTGTAGGTTGCAAATGGATCTATCGTATCAAACGACATTCGGATGGTACAATTGATCGCTACAAGGCACGCCTAGTAAAACAAAGATACAGCCAAGGAGTGGATTATTTTGAAACATTCAGTTCGGTCATTAAACCCACCACCATTCGTCTCGTTTTGTCCATTGATATATCACAGGGATGGTCCATTCGTCAATTGGACATCGATAGCGCGTTCCTCAATGACGAGTTGCAAGAAGATGTATACATGAAACAACCATCCGGATTTGAAGACACTCAAAGGCCAAATCATGTATGTCGATTACACAAGGCAATTTACAGGCTCAAACAGACCCCGAGAGTTTGGTTCACGAAACTCAAGACTTATCTTGTTCGTGCAGGATTTCACGAGCGTGCCAATCGGGCACGTCACTGTTTTTCCATGTCACAACCAAAGCCGTCATCTACATTCTAGTCTACGTGCATGATTTAATCATCACAGACATCAATCCCTACCTAATCCAACGATTCATCAATAATCTCCACCAAATGTTTGCTCTCAAAGACTTAGGCGAGTTACATTATTTTCTTGGCATTCAAATCGAACGGAACTCAAAGGGTCAGATCCTAAGTCAAGAGAACTACATTCGATATGTTCTTGAAAAATGCAAAATGGTTGCTGTTTCTCCTATCTCTACTCCTGCTGACCCAAGCTCACGTCTCACTCTTGCTGGTGAACTGTTTCTGATCCAAAGTTGTATCGACAAATAGTAGGGTCACTACAATACGCAATAATAACTCGACCCGTCATTTGCTTATGTTTTTAAGCGAGTATGTCAATACATGCATTCACCAACGACTCAACATTGGCAGGTTGTCAAGAAAATTTTACGGTATCTAAATGGTACTCTTAAACATTCTTTACATTTTACACCATCCCAAAAGAGATCCCTCACAGCTTTCTCTGATGCTGGTTGATTATCTGACAAAGATGACAGTCGTTCCCAATATGGTTTTGATATATATCACGGCTCCAACCTGCTAAGTTGGACCTCTAGAAAACAAAAGGTAGCAGCAAGATCAAGCACTAAAGCAGAGTATAGATCATTGGCATACACATCTGCAGAACTCATTTGGATTAAACAGCTTCTGTTTGAGTTACACATTCCAATGACTCGGTCTCCATTGCTATTCTGTGATAATGTAGGAGAAATCTTCATAACCAAAAATCTCGTCATAAGCACCAGGTCAAAACACATAGCTCTAGACTTACTTTTCATTCGCAAACAAGTTGAAGCTAAGGAACTAATCATATCAAATGTATCCTCAGAAGACAGCTGGCAGACATATTTACCAAGGCTCCTCCTAAGTATCACTTCAATTCCATTCGTCACAAGCTTTAAGTTCGTTGGGGGTAATAACGGTAACATCAAACGATACACATGTGGTTAGAGTGCACTATATTTAGAAGATTGTTTATCAGTCAAAGTCAAATTGTAGACCTAGTGTACAACCATATATTTAGGATTTTCAGTTGTAAACCTTGTATAAATTGGAGTCTTTGTATTCGTAGTACTGGCTTCAATATAATAGAAAAACATTACATAGTTGTCATTATTTACACCTAGGGACTATCTATAAGGTTTTTTGAACTAAGAAACTATATCTCAAATTTCTGGAAACCACTGAGGTTTAGTCTAAAAAATAAACGTTGCCATGATCCTTGGTTTATCACCAACCGTCTGAATAGCTTCAATATCTGTTTCAATTTATTTGTTAGTCACGGATGATATAAATATATCACGTGAGTAAACAAAAACTTACAACTCAAATGATGAAAAATGTACATTTGTCTAAAAAGTTATTTGGTTGGAACATAATGCATACAAACACCACACATCACTACATCACTTGAGGGGCCGATTATTAGATACTAGAAGAAGAAATAGTACAAGCTATATCAACACACAATACTAAATCAGATACAGACAGACACCAACATCACCATACAAATTTGGAGAAACACATTTCTCGATGCCCAAAAAACAAAAAAGTAGAAAGAGACATACAACATTTCTAATAAAACAATTATATAAATTTGTGAAATGAAATATGGAATTATCTTCACCATAGACAAACATCAATGACAGACAGAGTAACAAAACATTTCATAGAAAAATGATTTTTTTTGTATTTTAAAATCAAATACAAATTCTTCAAAATTTTATTTCTTCAAAATTATAAAAATGGAAAATTCCAAAACAAGTGCAACATAATTACGAAGACTTACACTTCAATTATACTTTTGAATAACATGATTTTTATTTCCAGAATATCAACACCTCATTCTGTTACTCCAATAAAAGCTAAAAGAAAGTTCTAGCATTTTCAACACAAGTTAACAACACGTAAAACACACACACATAAAAGTGGTAAATTTGAGGTGCAAGATTTATGAGATTTGATTATTAACCTTAATTCACCAGCATCTACAAGAACTGGTGCATGTGCAACACAGCAACAACACGTGCCTATCACTTGACAGCTTAATCATCGACCTCAACTACTGTATATCAATCATCATTTCACTAGCATCAGATTAGCCCATTTTTTAGGGGAGAGCATATGTGCTTTTATTTTAATTTTAGAACCTTAAAATTTTTAGGATTTTTTGTTCAGCAAGCATGACGTGTCAACAGCATAGCAGCAATATCAACTTCAACCATCATCCCCTTTCCCTTTTATAGCCCAAAAACAAAGTAACCAAAAAGTAAGAAATATAAAAAATATTCATTCTATTAGTCAAAATCCTAGTTTGACTTCAGGATTTAAAGGTTCAACTCTTACCCACTGCAAACCAAACATCATAACCACTGCTGCACCAGTTCTCACCAACATCAACACCAACAGCAACACATACTCTATCTATATAGTGCAATCAAAAATTTCAGTTTTCCAAATCAATATGACACACATTAACATCCAAAACAAAACTCTTCACATAACATCCTCCCAACAGTTGAAAACATCTTAGATGCAAGAAATCCAAATTATGCAAAAAAAAAGGGATACAAACCAAAAAAAAAAAAAAAAAAATTACCCTTCAAATTAAGCATCAGGAAATGAGTTTTCACAAAACAGAACACTGCTCTTGATTTCATGTCCATACATGCATCTCCAATTCTCATTCCTGTAAATCAACATTCAAAACAATCAATCAGCATCACTAAAAAACTCAAAAATCTAACCAATTATTTTAAAAAGATCATATAATTTATATATATATATATATATATATATATATATATATATATATATACTCACATCAGCATCAGAACGCTGTGGTGATGGGCTTCTAGAGTCAGGTTTCCCACGAGGGGAAACACTTTTTGGAGTAGGTGACCGATCTTTCTCAACACGCCTGGCTGGACTTCTGCTCCTTGAAGGTGTTCTTCTTGGAGATGCACTCCTACTCCTTCGAGGGCTCACACTATTTCGGGCAGGTGATCGGGCAGGGGAAGCACTTCTACATAACATAATCCCATATAAACATTTTCAAATACAGTTTAAACAACTTCATATCTTATCCTACAATCTAACTGCAGCATAGAAAAAGAAACATAACATTTGTATATACCTGATAGGAGATCGACTTCTGCTTCTACCCTTTTCATCTTCATATCTTCCTCTTCTACTGCGTTCTTTGCGATATTCAGGGCTTCTGCTTCTGCTTCGACTTCTGCTTCTGTATCGATCCCTTCCTCGATGCCTCTCGTGTTCAGATCTGTCTCTGCTTCTACTACGGTTTCTTCTTCTGTCCTTGTAGTCATCTCTATGCCTTGAACTACATGAACAATATTAAAATGAACCATTTTAAACAAATAGGTTTATGGAGATAAAGGAAAGAGAATCTTTATCTTTACCTTGGTCTTGGACTTCGGCTCCTTGATCTTCCCTTCAGCTTCTCAGCTGGTTCAAGTATTCTTCCCTTATGACTAAAGGAAAATAAGTAACAGATTTGTTAATTTATAGTTTGATAGAAAGAAATGAATAGCAACAAAAGTGGCTGTGACTCACATTCTTTCAGCATCAGGTCCATACTTGGCAAATTGAACCATTATCTCTCTACCATCAACAACTCTTCCTGAAGAAATGGCATAAATGTAAAAAGAAAAAGAAAAGATTGTTTTTTTAATTCATGAAATGGATTCTTTAGAAGAAATGGAAATTCAGTTGTCACCATCAAGCTTGTCCACTGCCTTCTGGGCTTCATCTGCATACTTATATCGAACAAAGGCAAAGCCCCGAGAATCCCCAGTCCTATGAGCAACACAAGAATTACACACCAAGTTAAGTCAAATATACCTGGAAAACAATGATTCTGTTCTAACAAGTTTAAACAAAAAGAAAGGTGGGGAATAGAAGCAGAAAATAATGGAATTGTACATTCTCCTGTTTCAAACGCAAAAGCAGCTTCAGATGTGATACATCATATATAATTTGAAAAAAAAAATGTTCAATTCATAACAGAATTAAAGTAGATTATGGGAAAGTTAATATATTTGGGTTAAATGCAAGAGAGTGTGAGTACATTTCACAGACTTGTGTAGTATAGCATCCTAGGTTCATTTCTTCCTATTAAAGCATTGTTCTTTAGAAATTATACCTAAAATAACATTGTTATCCGATACAAAGCAATTTCCCTTGCAATAGTTACATAGATTTTAAGCAACTTTCTTTTTCGTGCAATAATTAGATAGACTTTTAAAAGCAAAAAACTGTAAGTGTAATGATATAAGTAGATTTTTCTTTGAGAACAATGAAATTCTATGTTATAATAGAAAGAATTGAAAGGATAACAAACAAATAAAAAAAGTCCGGTTGCTAATTCTGCATTTAGCCGTATATGTTCCAAAAGTAGAAATCTGTCAACCACTTCGGGCATTAGGCGTATGAAAAATGTTACATAAGAAAATTACAAACGCGAGATTCCACAAAAAATGAGAAATCCTATTATTGCACATTAAATTGGGGAAAACTGTACCTGCGATCTCTAGGGATGAAAACATCAACAACCTTTCCATACTTATCAAAAAGAGGGAACAAATCATCGGCAGTTGTACCTGGAAAGACAAAACTCGTTAGACAAATCGGGAGTTTTATAAATCGAATGATGAAATTATGAACTTACGAAAGGTGATGTTGAGGACGAGGAGTGAATAGGTATCTCTGATATCCGGCGGACCTGCTCTTCCGAAGTGCGACATGGTTAATCGTTTTAGGGTTTCTGGAGCTAGGGCTTGTACATGTGGTGGATAGCTGATATCTCTAACAAAGGCGTAGCGGGCGAGCCAATGGATAAATAGTTAAGTAACTAGGAATATTTCGGATACACCCTTCAACTTTGTGCATTTTCCTATACAAGACCCTAACATCTATTCTATATTCATGGTTTTAGATTAGATGTTAGACCTAACTTAGTATGTAAGTCTCGATATATATATATATATATATATATATATATATATATATATATATATATATATATATATATATGTTTAGGTTCTATGGAAAACAAAAAACCCTAAAAATCATAAAATGCATAAAAAAAATACTTAGAGATCACAAAACTTTTTTTTAATTTTTTTTATAAAAAATCGCAGCTTTTTATTAAAATTCGCTGAAAAAAAAATCAACTTTTTTTTTTATAAAAAAAAAAAAAGTTTTTTTTTCAAATTTTTTTTCAGCGAATTTCTTTATAAACCTGCGATTTTTTCATAAAAAATGTCAAAAAAAAGTTTTGTGATCTCTAGGTACTTTTTTATGCATTTTTATGATTTTTGGGGTTTTGTTTAGGGTTTTTTTTGTTTTCCAAATAAACTTCCCTATCCCTATATATATATATATATATATATCTATATATATATATATATATATATATATATATATCTATATATATATATATATATATATAGAGGTGGGTTCAATTGAAAAAATAAAAAATGTTGAGAATGGGGGAATCATTCTCAGCCACTCATTTAATTTAAGCATAAAAAGACACGGTGGCAAACTTGTAAATATGTTAATAACCTTCAATCTCAAATACGTAACTATAGAGAATTTGATAACAGTTCGTTCATCATCAAAATTTCTCCTTCAACCTTCAACAATCATCCAGTGTTAATCAATCATCGATATTCGTGGCTGGGAGGTTCGCCGTTCAAGACAGATTCGCAACCCAAATTCATCAATTTCATCGATTTCTTTGTTGAATACTCCGAATGTTCGTAGCTTGCAAGCATTTGTTAAAGTTCATAACGGATTTGGAACTGGAATTTCCCAGATTCGCAAACGAAATCAGTTGGAATCGGAATTTCTTCGTTGTTCATGAAATTGGAATCGGAGTTCTGGACTCGCAGTCACAGTCGACATTGAAGGACTCAGAATCGGTACTCACGGGTTCCCAATCGGATTTTCGGAAATCAAAATCAAAACGAGAAATCGATCAGACATAGGATGTCGCATCTGAAGTCGAAATCGGAAGTATATGATGATTTTGGAATTGATAACTTGATGTTTTTAACATTTTTAAAATAGTTAACTTGTATGCACTCCAACTGTTTGATGAAATGCATAAACTAAATTAGCACGTTATATTCACATATGAATATGTTTTCTCACCTGAATCAGTATATGATTATTAAAAAGACAAAACAAATATGCAATTCTGTATGTTATTCATATGTGAATTACATATAAAAATTATATATATTTGTCAAAATACCTTCTAATATTCATAAGTGAATATATTCACAAGTGAATATACCTTGTAATATTCATATGTGAATATACTGTGTAATATTCATAAGTGAATATATCATCTAATATTCACAAGTGAATATACTATGTAATATTCACATGTGATATACCATGTAATACTATGTAATACTCACATATGAAATATCATTTAATATTCATAAGTGAATATATCATCTAATATTCACAAGTAAATATATTATGTTAATATTCACAAGTGAATACATCGTCCAATATTTAAATATGAATATACTATGTTTATTATATGATATATTCATATATGAATGATACTTAAATTGTAAAAAAAATAAATCATACTTTTTATTCATAAGTGAATAACGAATGTACTGTAATAAAACCTGATGCATTTTTATTCACTTATGAATAACGATAGCTGAAAATATAAAAAAAATAAATTTTTTATTTTATCTTAAAACTATATCAATATGGATGTTTATTTGTAGAGAATAAAAAATCATGAATTTTGGTATATTTAAAATCATTTTTTGATAAAAATAGCTTCTAAAAATTAAAAAAAAACGAAAAAAACTATGTTTTTGTATATATTAAGGTAATGATTAGCATAGTTTAAGGAAATATGTTTTGTTGGAAAACACATGTCTATTCATTTCCCATTTCCGCTGGTACGACGGAGGCTTTTGCGGCAAAAATAAATGAGTGGCTGAGAATGATTCCTCCATTCTCAACCTTCTTTTTTTTCTCAATTGAACCCTCCCCTATATATATATATATATATATATATATATATATAGATATATATATATATATATATATATATATATATATATATATATATATATATATATATATATATATATATTGCTATTATTCATTTTTATATACATATATGATTTAAAATAGCATTTTGTTAAAGTTTGGCGTCACGTACAAGCTTTGAAGTCATGGTGAGATTTTTAAAACATAGACTGTATTATAAAGGAGTTTGACTTCCTATATATAGATTGAGTATAATAATAATAATATGAAGTCATGGTGAGCTTTTTAAAACATTGACTATATTAATAATAATATGATTTATAAGACGTCCAAACATTTAAGCTAGTACAACAAACCATCAATATAATAATATTATAATTTAAATCTTTTAAATAATAATGCAACAAGTTCAAGTATTTAATACACAATAAATCTCATATTTCAATAATTAAACATCTTATGGTTCCAGCTCTTATCTTTCCTTATATATAGGCAATCACAATATTTAAATTTTAAATACCTTATCCAATCTTTTTACCCGCCTACTTATCTTTCCCCGTATATATGTAAACCATCTCTCTACAAAAACAAACTATGAAGTACATATCTGCTCAATTTTTCAGGTTTAGTGTTCTTCATGACCAGCTTCACCCCCGCTTAAAGAAATCGAAATTTCCCTGCCAACATTACTCTCCCCTCTAACCGTAGAATCACCACTCACTCCCCCCCCCCCCACACACACACTTAATCGACATTTTTGAAAGATGCTTGATGTGTCCTTCGATAACATCGTGAACGCGAAAGGTAAGTCTGAAATTCTCCTATATATCTCTCTCAATCGAACGGTGTCACATGGTTTTAATATGAAGGCTATTTCAGATTTCTGGAGATGGAGGGTGGATTTGATCAATTGATATTAGTTTCCTCGATCTTTTGTCATCTACGCCTATGCAGCGGCCAAATTTACAACTTGTATCTCTTTTTCGCCTCTTGTTTCTCGATCTACCACCATGAATACCACTCAGAACCACCATTATCATCATTTGTTGGTACTATCATTATCCTCAACCACCACGGCTCCATAACACCTCAAAATTATTTCCTTTTTATGTATGAATGTGTATCTTAAAGGTTTATACTTGCTAAATGTTGGTTATACTAAAAACTCATTAACTTGGTGTAGAAAGTAAATTGTCGGTATTGGCAACTCCTATGCAACAAGTAGTATGTGAGGCAGTGGACCCATAGAGAAAAATCAAGGGTTGCATAAATTTTTTAAGGGTTGCAATACTAGAAAAAGAACTCATTTCCGAAGGCAGTTTCCATCACAAAATCGTCACTAAACCGACGGATTTACACTAAATTCATAGTTATCAAACTAACTTTGTGATGGATTACCAACATATTTGTGATGGATTTCCAATGGATTTGTGACGAACTTTCGGTGAATTTTCACTAAATTTACATTTAAAGGAAAATTTTGAGGGGTAGCCTATGCCACCCTGCGCTACATATTAAATTTGCCATGTCGTGAGGTAAGGCTTGGTCAGTTCACTATTCAGTGATCGTTTATTGGGTTTCCTTAATTTCATGGTTGTTGATCTGCTTAAAATTTATCTAGAATGTGTGTAATATTTTGATTTGTTTTGATTTCTCCATGCATCATGTTGTATTCTCGGGAACATGAGTTTTGCTTTCTAGTTATGCATTCTTTTGTCTCTACAATATCTAGTATTATCTACTTGTATTCATATTTATCAAAGTATTCTAAATTATTTAAAAACAATGTTACTAAATAGTCCATTTCATGCTAACAGTAAGAAAAAACATCAAAATATAATCATCAGTTTATAAGTATGGTATTCTTTTATATGAAAAATCCACCTACAAATACAAATTAACATATCTAATTTTGTTTTGTGGAATCTATTTCTCTTTTAGTAACATGGTTGTAGTTGATAGTTTTAATTTCTTGATTACTGAATTTGTTTGTTCATTAATGAAATATGAATTCAAAATGGTCATATAATATTTTCAATGTTTTTTTTTTAAATATGATGGGTATTTAAAAAAAATATCAATTGTATGAGGGAACTTTATAATATATATATATATATATATATATATATATATATATATATATATATATATATATTGATAAATTAACTAGATTTATACTAAAAAAATAATTGAAAATAGATAGATAATGTTAAATATATGAAATTTTTAAAAAAAATATACACTGAGATTTGTAAAAAGATAATGTCAATAGTTTTAGATTAAATTACACAAATGGTCTTGTGGTTTGGTTGTGTGTTTCGTCCATAAACGTTTTTTTCATTCAATTCATCTATGAAGTTTGTTTTTGTTTTAACGTTAATCCCCACTATATATAAAATAACTATAATGACCTCGGTAATTATATTCTAACTAGCTTATTGTTTATTATTATTATTATTATTACTATTATTAATATTATTATTATCATTAAATTATAAATATATATATTATATATATCTATATATATATATATATATATATAGAGAGAGAGAGAGAGAGAGAACTAGGTTATTTTGTTTCTTACATTTATTGTGTGGTAGAATGCACCAATAGAAATTTAGTAAATTAAATAATTATTTAATTAAATAAATATAGATATTAAATGATTTCCATAATTATATGTACATTAAATGATATCCATAATTATAATTCTCTTTTTATGGAAACTAATTAAATCCGTCTTTAATGTCACAAATAACATTCTTTCAGAATGAATTCTCATCTAGGTTTTTATATATGAGTTCGTATTTTGTTTCAGGACTCAGTCACTTAAAATACAAT